TTCCTGGTAAATAATAAATGTTCAATAAATGGACACCACACTTGTAATTTTTTTGTTTCTGAGTTAGGCTTGGGATATTTCTGTCTTCCTTAGGATCACCCCTATAATATGTAAAAAACTGTATATATACATGGGTAATCACCTTCTGTCAAATTTTATTTGAATATTAGAAAGCTAATTTAAGGAGATTTTCAAAGATCTAGAAATGAAGAAAATAGTAACATCATGTTTTTTTAAAAAAAATTAATGCAGCAATGGTAAAATTTTAACTATGTGAAGATGATTGTACTAGTCTCTGGAATAAAAAATTAGTAAGACTTGTAAGATATGGGTCTATGAAAGAACTTCCAACCTACTAATGGTCACAGCATAACATTTAAGAGAGTGAATGCAGAAACACCAGGTATGACCTCAATAAAATGGTCTAGACCTGAAGTTTTAAATTTGAGTCCTGGTGTTGCGGTAGCTGTGTGATGGGGGACAATCACTTTAGCCCCCTAATTCTAAGTTTTTGACTTTTGCTGGGGTGGTGATTGTTGGTATTTTCTAAATCCTTAAAATGGAAATAACTATGCCAAATTAATAACATTTAATGAGAATTAAAATAAATCACTTAGCTTGGTCCTTGGCAGAGAGTTAATGTCCAGAAACAGCTATTGTGAAACACGTAGCTTACAAAACTTATCCGCATGACACTTTCGCTGACAGATGTACCTACACTCTCCTGACAGAGGCAGTGGTGTGTTCCCCTCACGTGCTGTGCCAGGGCCCCAGAGAAGAAAAGCATAGAGGCCAGAAAGAATCTTCTACACAGTGATTCCCTACCATCTTTTCTCTTATGGATAGAAAAAAGAAAATAAAACCAAAATATAAAAAATGTGATTTTGTGTGTGTGTGTGTGTGTGTGTGTGTGTGTGTGTGTGTGTGTGTGTGTGTGTGTGTGTGTTTAATTTTGTTATGTGTTTAGGACCTTTGAACTGGGCAAGTCAGAGAAGGCATCACTGGAAACCAGAGTTAAGTAGGAGGGAAAAGTCATCTGTAAAGATGTACAGCAAAAATGCCAGGCTGAGAGGCAGAAGAAGTGGAACGAACACTTTCTTTTTTGCTTAGGAACAAAGCAGATCGCTGGAGCATTCTAAATTTCAGTTTCTATTGCTGCAAATTGAGGAGAATGGATTATATCCATAATTCTCAGATCTGGATGGTTATCATATTCATATGGGGAACTTCCTATTAGGAGGCTCAACCTCAGAGCACAAATTATTTTAAGGTGCACTGAAGAAAGAGAATTAGTGAAATCGGTGATTGTTTAGGTTCTGCAGAATAGATGCCAAAGGCCACCCAGGAATAGTGGGTACCTGGGTATGTTTTGAATGCTGGTCAGAACAGTATGTTGTAGAGAGTTTTAGAGTGGGAGGAGTCTATCTGTAGGTAGTTGACATTGATGAAGATTTTTATATAAGGGAATGTGTTGAAAACAGTGGTCTAGAAAATTTATTTCTATTGTCTGTATATAGTAGAAAGAGAAGGAACTAAAAGCAAATGTATGAACTACAGGTGTAAACTAAGGTATTAGCCAGCAAAATTGCATAAGGTGTTCTCTGAACTGTCACAATCCAATAGAGTTATAGGACTATTGCCCCCATTTTTAAATATGGGATAATTATCAGAGAAACATGTGCCTTGATGTGGATATGAAAAATAGATACTACTAAAGTCAGGAACAAGTTGAAATGAAGTTTTTTTCTCACATAGTAACCACATACTATATAACCAAGGACAGTTTCATTTTGATAAATTATCAGCTATAAATTATTATATCAAAACCACACCTGTTTCATAAGCTCTCATCAAGGGGTGAGCAAAAGAGATATATCCTCTCTATTTCTTTTCCTTTCAGAAACAACAAAATTACCATGTATCAACATCGTGGGCTTTCTTGAAAAAGCATTTTAAAATATCTGTCAAGGTGGCATGTGATGTCTGTTAGCCTAATCCCTTGGTGCCTAATGATGCTCAAAGGCTCCCAAGAAAAAGTAGAATCATCTAAGAGTACAGAGCCAATGTCTTCTCTGTACAGAGGAAATGTCTTCTCTGCCCAAGTCTCTGCATGTTTTAATACTCATTTACTAAACTAATTACACGATAAGGTGTTTTTCTTAAAGTCTGTCAGTCCCTTAAGGTATTTTTAGAGATAATAATTTAGAATCTGAGTTCCCAGTGAATAATGTAGATGATGACTTTTCCACTGTCACATGAATGTTAATGGACAACCTCTAGGATTTAGATTCACAGACTATGTTAGGTGGTAATTAATCCCACCAAGTTCATATGTAAAAGGTCTAAGTTTCCCTTCTGTTATACGAACCATGACAAATGAAAACCATTAAATCATTGCTATCAAATTATTGTGAGTTTTTTTCCTCTGCTAATTTTGAAGAATATCCAAGCTAAATTACGTCCTAAGGGACCTCATTTTCAGCCTTAATTCCCTAAGTCTGTATCTTCCTTTGGACTTTGGGATGATTTCCAAATTAATGTTAGTGAAGATTTATGAAATTCTTGGAGGGAGAGTTCTGCTAACCATAGATTAAAAAGTCAAATTACTAGAATTAAAAGGTACATGATCATTTTTTGAAAACTTTTTTTTATAGAGACAAGATCTCACTATGTTGTTGTTCATGCTGACCTTGAACTCCCAGGCCAAAACAATCCTTCTGCCTCGGCCTCCCAAGGTGCTGGGACTACAGGCATGAGCCAGAAAAAATCCGTTTTCATTAAGAAAAAAAAAGTGCCAGTGGAAGAATTACCTCAAGGTGTATGTTAGAATAGATACCCTGTGTGTATATAAACTTAGTGGGTTCCCACTGAGTCTTGCAGATATTCTTTAAATGTTTGTTGACTTAATGAATGAATCAAAAGGAAAGCACTAAGAAGGCTATAATGCAAATTTATTATAACCATGCAACTTTAAAGCCACTTAAGGACACCTGTGTCACCTTGTTCTCAAGGACTGGACTGTGCATGGAGAGGAGCCCATTAGGAGTTAGCTAGACCCTATTAGGGACAGGGTAGTGCAGACGGCCACCTGCCTTGGGAAATAGCTAAGTGCCTAGCACATAAAAGACAATGATAAATGTTTGCCTAATTGAATTGCTCAATTCAAGATCTATATTAGAAATGTGACTTCTTTTTTCAAGGTCTGTGATAGGAAACTCACTAGGTGAGATTGCCTTGTGACAAGCTGCTTGTGGCACTTAAAACCTCAAACTTGTGGATTCAGTACTAGTTTTCCCTCTACATAATTCATCCTACAGAAACTCAAGTATAAGGGGATATTGTGTCAGGAGCTACTGTCTGATGCCTTTGATAATTCATGGGGTGGTTCTGTTGAGAGCGCAGTGTGCATGCAGATCACCTGGGAATTTTCTGAAACCATAGGATCTGATTCAGTAGGTGTGGATAGGGTCTGAGATATTCTGCATTTCTAAAAAGCTTCCAAGTGATTGAAACTGGTCTATGAATCACACATTGAGCAGAAAGATCATTAGAGATGGATTTCTAAGTCGTTAGAATAAGCAGATATGGTATGATGCAAGAGCACTGAGAAGTGACATAGATGAGCCGCTTGACTCTCTGTTCTCATTAGAAAAATGAATCTAAGCCGGGCTCGGTGGCTCAGCCTGTAATCCCATGCCTTTGGGAGGCTGAGGTGAGTGGATTGCCTGAGCCCGTGGGTTCGAGACCCACCTGGGCAGCGAGACCTCATCTCTACAATAAATCAAAAAATCAGTCAGGCGTGGTAGCGCATGCCTGTAATTCCGGCCACTTGGAAGGCTGAGGCGGAAGGATCGCCGGAGCCCAGCAGGTTGAGGCTGCAGTGGCCGGGAGCGGCCACTGCACTCCAGTCTGGGTGACAGGGTGAGACTCCAACTCAAAAAAAAAAAAAAAAAAAGAATCTAATAGTAGAACAATAATCTCTACCATATAGGAATGTTGTGGAAATTAAATTGATAATGTTATATGAAAAGTTATGAGAATATATGGTACATAGTCATTGCTAAATCAATGGATAGCAAACATAGAAGCACTCAGCTGTGTACTGGTAATAGGTAAAGATGGGGTACATTTAGGCTGTGTGCTCTCAATACTTCAAGGGATTCTCTTCTTCATTCCACAATTACAATGTCCAGTTCTTAACAAGAGATCAGTGTATTTGTTGCAAAACTGATCACTCCCAAGTATATATTTTTAACTTCAAAGTCATTGATATCAGGATAATGACCCAATGTCTCCCCATGGTACTAAAAGCACAGAGAAATTTCACCCAAGAAGAGTAATTACTTTCAAATCTTGAGTCCTCTTTAAGCCAAAGTGTCATCACTGGGAGCAGAAGACAAAACCAGCCCCAACTTTCAATAAAAATATGATGATGAAATAGCTCGTTATTCTTTACCAGCCCAGTGGTCACAGTAGTCTCTAATTTCATAAATTATGCATGAAATTTTTCTTAGATATAAAATCAAAGATTAACTTTGGCAGTTTGGGCTGACTTCTCTCTGGTAGGTACAACCACCTTTAGGAACTCAGCCTACAGTGATGCAACCAGTACCACAGGGGCCTAGATTATCTTCACATCATTATAAACTAGTCCCATGCCACCCAGATAATGCCCCTAAAATTGCTCCTCTGAAGGTCATAGTTTCTTGCTAACAAACTTACAACTCATTGAATGAAACTCTCAAAAAGTGCATGGAAAGTAGAAGGTAGAAAAATCAGTAAATAATTTGTATCAGCACTTACATCTTAACATCTCTTTCCACTGAGAATTCCGAGACAGAAACTGTTCGCACCTCGAGACAGTCCAGTGGAATCCATTTGCAGTAAAATCCAGGGTGCTAGCTAACCTTGGCTAAAAGAAATGAGATTTTAAAGTCTAGTCAAAGAGTTTAAACAAAGTATTATTAAAAGATGTTCTTTTTCCCCCTCATTATCTATAGGTCCCAGGAGAAAAAAGAAGAAGCTATCATGTTACTGAAGGATTCCATTAAATATGGTCCGGAGTTTGCAGATGCATATTCAAGCTTAGCTTCCTTATTGGCTGAGCAGGTAATTGTTTTCATTTAATTTTACACAGTATTTTTTAAAAATGATATTGTGGGTATAAAGTAATGTTACACAGATTTTTGTGCTAATGATTTAATTTGTAAACTCATATTGGGCAAATAATCTCTGTCAGTTTTCTTTCTTTTTTTTTTTTTTTTTTTTGAGTTGGAGTCTCATTCTGTCGCTGGAGTACAGTGGCACACTCAACGGCCACCCAGTGTTGAACTGCTGAGTTCCGGCGATCCTTCCACCTCAACCTTCCAAGTAGCCAGAACTACTGGCACGCACTACCATGCTTGACAAACTTTTTAAATTTATTGTAGAGACAAGGTCTCGCCAAGTTGCCTGGACTGATCTCAAACCCACAGGCTCAGGCAATTCTCTCGCCTCGGCCTCCCAAAGTGCTGGGATTACAGGCTGAGCCACCAAGCCCAGTCATCAGTGTTCTTTTCGACAGAAATTATAAACCTAGTTTTCTCACTTGAATATTCTCCGTATAATGTAGATAGCTTTAGACAGAGATGATCCATTATTGGCTATTGACATAGTCTCTGTCATTTTGGTCAGAATCCATCCAGAACAATGCATGGTACTTATCATCTTATTACTACTTACCTATCATATTTTTCTGGGGAATTGCTAATGGACTGAGATCTCTGAACTCAATAGAAAGCCAATTATTGATAATTCCATAGGTCTTGCTTACTATCTGTTAGAATATTACAGAAGATTGTTAAGTTCCTAAGAGAACATTTCTCATGGAATAACACAGAGGTTTGTTTTGAATCATTTCCTTCTTTTCACTTGGGTCTAAATGATTTGGTACCCCTTTTTCAGTCCCGGATGCATGACCCTGCTATGGAGAAACAGATACAAGTTGTCTTCTCTCTAAACTGAAGATATAATTTTGTTGACACACACAAGTGCCCTTGATAGACAGTAGATTCTGCTATCATAAAATTGTCAGATTATCTTTAGAATCAAACTCAACATTTGTGCAAGATGCCCTGAAGCATTTGATTGGCTTAGACATAATAAATCATTTAACACTGCAGTCACATAGGGAGCAATTTACATTAAAACAAATTTGGAATTTCCATCAAGAAGCAAAATTAGGACATCCTATGGATATTTGGATGATAGAGATGATAAACCTAGTTTTCTTGCTCTTTTTCTCCATGTGGTATAGGTGGGCTTTAGACAAAACCCTCGTCTGTGGTGGATGATTTTAATGCATGCCTTAGTACAATATTTCAGCTACAGTGATTATGGTTGTTATCAGTGGTATACATTGGGAGGCTTCAGCTGCCTTTGGCTTGTGTTGAAGCAGGCACTGTAGGGTTTTCTGAAGAAAAGATTGACTTTATTCATCAGTATTCCTTTGTCTTATGTCACCCCAGCTCCTTCATTTTCATGAGAAGCTCACTCTACCTCTGCCCGGCTGGTTGTCTTGCAGTTACTCAGACATACCAAGAATGCTTGTCTCCCAGAGGTTTGGTGCCAGCTCTTCCCTCTGTTTGCAACACTTCTCTCCCAGATCTTAGAATCTTTTCCTTGTATCATTCTGAGTCCTGTCCCAAGTTACTATACCAGAGAGGTCTTCTGTGATGACCCTTTGTAAATTGCAGTCCACTGTCCATCATGTTCTCTGTCATCTTGTCCTGCCATATATTTCCCCATAGCATTTATTACCATCTAAAATGATGATAATATATTTTCAGTAATAAATATATGTTTTTGACACATTTATCTGTTTATGATATTTCTACACCATTGGAATATTTGACTCCATGAAAACAGCTGTTTTATTCATCTGTGTTCATCATATGAAAAATCACTATATTTAAAATTATCTAGATGTTTAGTATCCTGAAACTTACTTCAATTCATTCTTCAGTATCTTTGCATTCAACCTTACTATTAACAAATTTGTATAGTAAATGGGAGTTTAAAAAGAACAACATACATGCTTTTTTCTCCATTATGTTTAAGAAGTGTTAGTGGCTTAATTGAAGTTGATTACTTGACAAATTTAATTTTATGAACTACAGTGGCAAGTTGATATAAAGTTATTACATTTCACAGAGTTGTAGTTGTGAACAATTGTTAAGAAAAACAAATTATGACTAGGACCATGATCTTTTCTTACATAAAAGGTCATGTCTTTTAGCGGTCTTTCCTACTCTAGATGTGAATATAAAATGCTATGGGATCTAAGAACATAAATGCAAGATTGAAAGGTTCTTTCTTCTGCCCCTTTGGGCAATTGATTTTAACATGAAAGAGACAGAGCAGCTGTTGGGCATAACTCAGAATTGCCTTCCCTTCTCTGACTTTCAACATCTTATCTTCATGTTTTGAATTCTTTAGTAATAAAAGAATGTTTCAGATGCACAAGCAAAGCACAGACCGTTTTCAGAAAAATCCCCCTAGCTTAACATTCTTGAGTAGCAAGTGAATTTATTTCTTGGTGGCGCAACTTTATTTAACAACGTTCCAGCATTTCAAACACCCAGAATGTATGAAAGCAGTGTTTACAAATCTCGGTCAATCTGTAACACACTGTGAAGCCATTCCCTCACTTAAACAGGTCATCTTCTAGTGCCACCATCTGTCCACACACACGGCCCACACTGACTGTGGTGGTGGGTCAATCTCATGCTAAAAAACTCTTTCCTGTGCAGAGCTTAAATCACCCAATTCATAGGCAGTTTTCAGAATCTGTGTGGGACTCATTTTATATTTAATTTCAAGTTTGTTATATCAGTCTGAAATTTCTGATTTCTCTAGGACTTTTTAGTTTTTTTTTTTTTCTATGCGGTGTATTGACTATCCTTTTTTGCTGTTTCAGTTGGCAGATTTGACAAGAATAGCTTCTAGTGAAATAACTAGTTTATGTCTTTGATTTTGAAAAAATTTCACAGAGATCACTAGCCGATAGAAAGCTCTGTAGCGAAGAACCTTCTCTCCAGGTTGACCTTTATCTTACACAAGACTCTGGGTAAAGTTATTCCTCCATAACCATTGGTTAATTTATTGGATATTGTCATCTAGCTCAGCTCTCTTGGTCTAGTCTACAAGGATGTTTTGAGACACTTTGTAAGACACGTGCTGAAATTTTTCCTCTAATATAAAGATTTAATAAAAAATGGAAACAAGCTTTATTTGGTATGCCTTGCTCTTACTATAAGTTTGCTGATGTTTACAAACACCTTTTCCCATCCTCAGTGCTAACAAAACCGTAAGTGTAACAATCCCTTCTAGGATTTGTCGGGAACTTATTTTGTATCCCTTACTCTATTGGAACCTAAAGAGAGCAAGCTAATATGTTTGGGCAAAGTAGAGGATTTGAGAAATTTGAAAAATAAATTAATAAGCTGAAAAGACACTGTATGGTGGGATGTGTTAAGGTCCACAATGGAACCCAAGTTTGAAATTTATAGATAATAGGAAGGAAAGGTAAATATCTGAGGAGAGGGCTTTAAAATATGTAAGGAAGAAAATCTTGTTGAAATGCATGGGGTGTTTTGGAGGAGGCTTTTATAAGCAATCTGGTGTGAATAGTTGAGAGCCTTGTTTCAGGAAGAAAATGAGAGAATGAATAGACTATTGTGGGAAAAGTTCACTTTGGTACTTACAGATTGTCAGTATGTGAAGGTTGAGAGGAAAATAAAAATAGAAAAGAACTCTAGGGCAGAACATTTAAAGGACTGAGAAGATTCATGGTCACTGATAGCCATGGAGAAGCCAGGGAAAAGCAAGATTTTAGGAAAGAAATAAGATCAGTTTCAACATTGTATTTCCAGCTAAACAAGTAACATAAACATATATAAAGGAAAGTATGAAAAATAAAATAAAATAAATTATGCCCTTTACCTATAATATAATATCTGGAAACAACAAATATTATCTTTTTTATATCATGCAGGTCTTTAAATTATATTTATGTTATTTCCATACATATTTACATATAATTTTTATGTTGTTCTTTACACTTGCCATGATATTACAGATAATATTATACCTCTTTATGATGCTAAATGACCTTCATAAATACCATTTTAAAGATGACTTACTGGTTCATCAAAATGATTCATTGTAATTTGCATAATAATATCTCAATTATTGGGTCATTTGGAATCTTTTTCTTTTGTGGCAGTAAATTTTTCCTTTCTTGGGACTTTTTTTAAAACAATATTTTGAATCATTTGATAGGTTCCTAGAGTTAGAATTTCCATGTCAAAGAATATGAGCATATTTCATGCTTCTTTAAATATGTCACTAAATTGTTTTCCAAAAGGGTAATACCAGTTTACTCTGCCACTAACAGTGTACAACCTTTAAGTCTTAAATATTAGTAGAACATTTAAATGAAATGGATGGCATATCGACTGATTATAGTGAGAAATATCAGGGCTAGAAAGAGAGATCCTGGACTTCAAATAAATGAAACCATATTGTGAACAGATAATTTTGTTAAGGGGAAAATGAAGAATAGTGTAGGAGAATAAAAAAACCTTAAAGACTTTTTTGGCCTTCTCATTATACAGGTAAAAAATGTATGGTGTACAGAATTAAGTGGTTCCCCAAAGTCAACCTGTTCAGCATAGTTGAATAACTTTTCCCAGTGTATGAGCTACTTGTATAACTCCTGGGAGGACCTGAACTAAGACCTCATCTCTGACTTCTTACCCACTTCTCTTTCACTATATGACACAGGGTTCTATGAGTAGACTGTGATAATGGGCCATAGTTAACAAGTTTGGGTGTGGAAAAGGCAGGAAAGGAGAAGTGATAGAGGAAACCTAGAAGGATGAGTTGTCATAGAAGTTAGATACATACAAATATCCAGAACTTACTTTCCTGCTTTTCGGCCATCTTCCCCACTGCTCTTGGATGGGGACTGTCCTCCACCTAAGGTAGGAAGACTGTGGCCACAAGCAAGATGAAAAAGTCGCTGGAGCTGATCAACTCTAGGCTCCAAGTCTGAAAGGGTCAAATGA